CTTTCAGTGTAGACATAAACCGCTATTCGAGATCATTTAAGTTTGGGCCGCGTAAGATAAAGTAAACATTTTGTAACTTAAACTCGCTTTAATCTATTTCGGTGTAAATCGAAGCTTTTGAAGCTAACGTCAACATTCCTTCTTCATTGATGAGCACGAGCTAAAGTAGACTTCAACATACACCTTAAATCAAGTAAGATAAATTTGTCTCGTTTATATAATTTATATTTTAAGAAAAAACAAATATTTCTCTTTTAATATAATTCATGTTTTAAGTGGTATGAGGCAAAACGCTACTTAGCGTGATATTATGTTATGCAAAATTTATGATAAAAGCATATAATTGCTGAAAAAAAACCCGACTTAATCGACTAAAGTTAAGCGTGAGAGAGACTTTCAAACTAACTTTTGTAGATATGATCTTGAATAACGTTTACAAATGTAATAACATATTTTACATTTTACACATTCAATTATGCAGACACAATATATATGAAGAATGTATCAAATAACAATAATACTGTAGTAAAATATACAGATGCAATATATTGTTGTATATACAAACCGTGTATTACAGAACAAACTGTAATAAAAGTGAGTTTGGCAAACATTGGATGTTAAAAACTTAAAGCAACTAAAAGCAGCATGTAATCTGCTGGCACACTCCAGTAAATCAAAACAAAGTTCACTTCTTATGATTGCGCCGGAATAAACCGTGGCTGGAATTCCATGTCCCAACGGTTACATGCTTTATAATTATAGAGTCTTCAAATTGACAACAAATTGCTTCTGATGTCACACAAAAAAATGCAACCACGTTTTCTATATAGAAAAAAAACGTTTGTTTTTGAACCAGGCAAAAAATGGAAATAACAATTCTTTATGGTAATATTTTCTCTAAACATTGTTGTTCATTGCCTACCTTTATAGCTTCTTAGCTTGCACTTTAAGTTAGTCATCTGTCTCCCTCCACCAAATTATACCTTACAAAGTCAAGAACAACGGCACATCCCATAAAAAAGGTTCGACAATCCATTTACAAAGGCCAGAATGCACCTGCCGAAATATCTTCCGCAAATTTCTTCAAGTTGGTAGTTGGCCAAATTTAATGAAGATGCTTCATTGATAAAGAAAGCAACCAAAACAATTCAATTGCATGTAGCCACGCTAACATTTTGTGAAAACACCATCTACAACTGGACACTTTCAACGATTCTTCGTATTTTACCCTTTTAGACTTTACTCTCTTTGGAGTTATTTTTGTGTAGTAAAACCTTAAATATTGTGACAACATAACTCACTTTTTACAAAAAAACAGCCTTTAACCGACACGCATTTTACATTTTTATACCTACTTATCTTACAAATGCAATATTGTTTTTTATACAAATCATTTTTATTTGCAATTTTGTTATAGCGACATACTATTGGACTGGTCTTTCATTTTTTATTATTAGATAAGATTTTTCCCTATTCTATGTGTTGCATTTTTCTTTTTGATGATGATGTCGGTCTTTTATGGGAATTCCTAACAAAAAAAGAATATGTTTGAAAATGGATATCAAAAAAGAACCTGCTTCGACATTCAAAATAAATTATAGAAAATGTTCAACCTTACAGCTATTAATCTGTATTTAATCAAAGTGTTATCTTGTGCCCATTAGTAAAGTTCCCCCTGAATTACCCGAGTTACCTCAGTACAGTAAAAACATTCTGCTGGTGATATTTGTGTTGCTCTGTTAATGTTGTTGGTGTTGTTGTAGTGAGGAGGGTGGTCGTGGTATTTGTGATGCAGGTGTTCTTCTTTAAAGGGAATAGTCGATACTTTCTTTGACTAGCGGAAATAGAATATGCTTGAAAATGAATACGTTAATCTTATAGCAGTTGACGGCTGATAGTATCACTGATATATTGGGTCAACATTGATTGTAATGATTTTCATGAGCATGATAGATAACTTTCGTTATTGTGAATGTTTGTGCCAAGATAATAATATAATTTTCAGATGTCATTTGCGAATTACACATCTTAAACATATTATTTTACAAGGTGTATGAAATTAATTAAGTATACCTGCCATAAATGTTATGTGTAATTATTGATACATGAATGGATTAACAACACGTCCGTTCCATCAATGCATTGATCTTTATGCCTGCAGTCAGTTTATTAATAAATAAAGTCGAAAAAAAAATCCTATTCAATTCTTTGGATGATTTAGGTAGATATTTTTCTCAATCGGAACGTCCTCGGTTACTATTCATTATAGCCCCGGAGTGAATACAGATTAAAAGTACTTCGACCATATGGTTTCAGATGTTTACAAAAACAGAGAGTGTAACCTTCGATAATCTAAAAAGAATGTATATATTCGAGGTCCAAAGGAAAATAAAGACTGTTTCGGCACAATTATGATTAAAAATATGTCTGACAACTATTTCTAATTTAGATATGCCCATTGATCATTGTTGTACATTTTTAAATAAGTCCGACGTATAAGTCAACTTGTTGGCATTTTGTACTTTCGGTTTCTACAAACATAATAATAAATGTATAAGAAATATACTGTTTACTCTTTTATCTATAAATTTGCTTATTTTAAAGGGTTTTTTGGGGTTTTTTTAAGTTACAACGAAATACCGTGTCCGTTCTGTGCATTCATACTATTGTGTCCAAGTGAACAAGAAACTTTTGTAGAAGTAACATCAAAAAAGTAAGAAAATCTGAAAACAAAGTGATCCCTCGGGAGCATTAATCACAACAAAATTTCGTGAAAATTGCAGACTCGGTTTGATCGAGTCTGTACATGAGGGATAATGAATATGTGCAACATCCCTCACGCCCCCTAGCACCGGCTGAGCGGTACTCAAATCTCAACACCCGATAGTGCTGGCATTAATGATTCCGAAGGACCAGAAATATTTAACAAAGACTTGCGAAAAGATACGATTGGTATTGATGTTTCTTTATTCAATATAATACAAAGTAAAACTGTGCTATAAATTATATTAAAATGTATTTTTGTGTATACATAAAATATTCTCTCATGTATCAAATGTTTGTATTTTCCATTTTAAACGTTTTTTAGTATATAATATATGCATGTAACGTCATTACAGGGTTTAGATTTCATATAAGATTGTTCTCATCTTATAGATCTTATTTTACAATTTCTGTTGGAAAGAAGCCAAGTTTATTTTTTCTAGCTTTTATGTGATTACACAAACATTTTCTGTATCTAACCTAGGCAATATCTAAATTTAGCACACATACCATGACGATCGTTAACTTTCCAAAACTGGGGAATGTTATTATAGTATATCTTATATGACATGCACTACTTCATGTCATTGAAACTATCTATTTAAGAGATAAAGCGTAATTTTCGGAAAAAAAGATCTGACTTTTGAAATATCAAAATTTAGAATATTTAGAGGAGAGTTTTATTTAGGTGAGTTTTATTTTTTGTATCACAAAAGAGTTTATAGATGTTTCAATATTTTCATTTAACAAAATTTTTATATTAGTGTTTTATCTCTTGATAATAGTTTTAATATGAAATGCACTTAAAAAAATACCAGCATATCTTAGTTCAATCGTAAAGTAACTGGAAAAACTAATTCAGTGTTTCTCAAATGTGAAAGCATTAATTAAGATTGTATCCTTTTATGGAGGTGCATTTCATAGCAATGAGACTGTTACGTTATACAGTCAAGCCCTGTTATGTACAACAACAGCTAATACGAATAAACGTTCTTTTTGATATTCATCGACGACCTGCTTACTTCCGGTTGTCATCATTTTTCATGAACTGTGATAAAGAAGTATGTTCTGTTATTATAAAAAGAGAACAGTCAAATATTACTACAATCACGATTTCAGCGAGTTTTCAATGTAAACTATGTTTTGTTTTGATTTTGAAAGTTGCGAATAATGAGCTCCTTTGATAAAACCGTTAAACTATTAAGTAGATATTTTTCGTTTTTCGTGAAATATGGATTATATTTTCACGAAAACTGAAAAAATGTCACATTTTTTCACGAGCCGGGACTGCGAATGAAAATATGTGGCATTTTATCATAGTGAGTGAAAATATATACCATATTTCACAAAAAAAGACAAAAAATAATAACCGTTTATTCAATTTCATTTTCAAAGAAAAATGGTAACGAATCCACTTGCTTGCTACGCCACTGCAATTTTACAGCGCACAATAATATATTGATTATTTATAGATGCGTGACGCGGTTCAATACACATACAATGTTTGTGTGTTTATTCTATTACAATTTATATTTTTCAAACGAAATACAGAGTATTTATGGTGAAATAAAAGTGAACTTTAATCGGTTTGGTCATTGAAATAGCAGTCTTGTTTTGACTGTTTTGCACGCGCTGTTTGGCTATACATTGTGACGTCACGCAAATAAAAAAAAAACGTCTGTACAGCGGTTATTGCTGAATTAAAGATATTGGTGTTAAGATTCATTTACTAAGACCATTTTCTATCATTCTAGATAGTTTTCAAAACAAAATTCAACAAAAAGTTGTTTTTTTTTATTTATCAATTTTTACAAACAAAATGGAGAAAGAAATCTCTTAAATTAAATACTAGTTTGACTCCGCCCACTTTCATATTTATATTTCATTTTCATACATAAAAATGGCATATATTGAATGATATAGCACCATTTGTCATGGGTAAAATTAAATAAAACGCCCCAAGCACCGGCTTGAGCGTTACTCAATTCTCAACACTTAAATGTGCTGGATCAATGACATACGTCTTTGTAGAATCCCATACTCAACTTTACAATGACTTATGTGATTTATTCCTCAATTCTGAAAAAAAAAACGTTCTTTATAAAATTTATTATTTTATACAGCTATATGAATAATTGCTTTGAAATGAAAAAAAGAAGAAAATAATTCATTCAAGTTCATCTTGGTTTTAATATAAAAAAATATATATAAACGCAAATAAACCTCCTTTTATGAAATTTGAACAACATTCTCAACTGTGAAATATTGAATCTTGAATAGTGTCAAAATAATAAAATATCAAGGACATTTATGATCCGACTAAAGTTTACAAAATATTGTCGAAGTTTATTCATTAAAACAAACAGGGATAAATATCTGTAAAAAATACGATAAAAAACAAATTTAAAAGGAAGTAGTGGAGCAATCTGCGCGATTGGTAATATAAAAAAGGTAACTTCTTTTTGTTTTTATGTAGTTATGCTTTTTAATGTACGTAAATATGAGATATACTGGTATTTGGTAAAAACTAAAATGGTTCAGGTCCATTTTGAAAGTTTAAAACAGCTTTCATTTGCCTTGCTTTTCGCCAGATCTATTTTCTGTGTTATGTTTGTTTGTGTAATTGGCGTGTTTTGATTCAGATATAAAATATGAAATAGTTAAATATAAAACATTAAGTAATGATATTGATAGTGTAAAGAACACTTGGATTTTATCTTTAATACCTTATATCCACCTGCTTTTCGTTATCGCAAATTTGAATATTATGTTACACTTTTATACATCAAGTCGACATTGTTATTTTTTCCTTTTTCCTGAATCATTGAAAAATGTCACGTGTATGAATACATTTAATAATATAATAGTAAATTCATTGACGTCGTCTAGAAGAACTGTTGTTTTGAGTTGGACTGTAGGGGGCAGTATACTGCTCATTCATAAGATAACATGGTATCCTAACTCATATGACAATGGTATCCTAACTCATTTAACAATGGTATCCTAACTAATATAACATCTAGAAAATTAGACTTATATGTGTTATAAAATTTAGACGAACTAAACAATTTTGTAGTGTAGACTCTTTTACCGTAAACATTGTAAGAGACAATGAGACAAATATGAATAATGATCATTTTGTGCGGATTGTGTTAAGGTATTACACTATTGTGATATCAACTTTAATAAATAATTAGATAAAAACGGCTATTACAGTAAATGAGTCGACTCTAACGGGGAACAATTATTGCAATTGAGATTCCAGTATGTTAGTGTTTTTTTTAAAAATAACTGCATATAATATTTCCACGCTTTAAAATCAACTCATAACTTTACTCTTAATATAAATTGTACAAAAATAATGTATAGCTTTTTGAATAAAAGATCCATAAAAATTGATGAAAAAAGCTATCATTATTCAGTGTACTTAAATGCTTTATAAATATCTTTATTAAACGCAAAACGTGGACATTGGTATGATCCGTCTCATAATATAAGTGAAATTTGATTCATTGTGTATACCGGTTATGACACAAAAACACTCAAAACTATGCACTGTAAAGCAACATTTTTAGGACTAAAATGACAACACTACAATTTAACGTTATGTCATATTTTAATAAAATGCACAGTTATAGTGTTTGTCCTTAGTATTAGATTTCAAACATATGTAATAAATTCATAATATGCCTCAAACGTTACCTAACGACATCCTTGAACGTTCTCAATGTATGATTTATATCATCCTAAATTAAAAACTTTGAGCGGGACATATGATATCTGAAAGACCTTCCCTATGTCCGGATCCATATTTTAAATATTGTCTGTTTTGAAATGTTGTCTATGATTAAAAGTTGAGTACAAATCATGACTTAAGAAAACAGAGCGATCTATCTTTTTTAATGTAAAATGATTCCGACAAGTGCCTATTTGACCATAATTTCAGGCATGTGGGTGATCTTGAGTAGCACCATCACAACATTCTTGGTATGTTTTGTGATTATTACCAATAACGTAGATGGGCACGTGATTCGAGCTCATCGACCTTGACCACTAGGCCATGGAAACCACTTTCAGTTTTTGAGCATCTCAACATTAAGTTTTTTATACATATCATATCATATCAAAGTATATATTGGCCCTTCATCATTTCCATCACTTATGTCTCAATTCAAGAACAACATAAAAGATAAAACACTACTTGTAAAAAGACAGATTTATCACACAGAAGAATAAAACGGAAAAAGTACTAAATCATTTCCCTAATTTCAGTTCAGACAAAAATGGCATATAGTCGTCCTTGCACTGTCAAGAAGGCTCCTTCGGCAGCATTCTCTAACCTGAGAATTGAAAGGTATCATAGCTTCAAGAACGTAATATTATAAAAATATATAAGTTTGGTAAATCAGAAAACATCATCTATTTAATCATATAGTTTACAACAAAGTAGATAAGTACAATTTAATGTTATATTAACAAGGAATCAATATATAGATTTTATCACTTATGTTGCCATTGAATTCCTTTGAGTGCTTCTGTCAGTAAAGCTTTTGTAATTTGAGATATTTGAGATGTTTATTCAAATATACGATATAAACGTATTTCAATCGAGTTAAGGGACCATTATATCATCAATGGAATAAAATTCTTTAATTTGATATTTCAATATTAACAGGTCCCCTGACATTAATTGGAGAGACACAAGGACAGCCGCACAATGCTTGTCACATCTTTGTCTTTCGGAACAACTTTCAGACATCACCTTTACCTTCAGCGCCTATAGAGATGTAAAACTTCCGGCCCATAAATTCGTACTGAGCATGCGGAGTGCTGTTTTTGAAGCCATGTTTTTTGGTTCACTTTCAGAGGGAGGGAAAACAGTTACAATTGAGGATATAGAACCTGAGGTTATGAAGACTGTATTAAAGTACGTAAAGTGCACACACTTTTGAATGCTTTAACACTTTTGTTTACAATACTGCTAATAACATGGTGAAGAAATTTTAGTATTAATATCAGATTTTTGTGTATGTGATAACAATATATTAACCACAGTTTAGTGTATTGTCACATCTAATTTATTACCATTTTCCACAACTAATTATGATTAGATGAAAGATTTTCATTCTAATAAAAATATAATAAAAATGACCTATGATCCTTTTTCCTCCAGGTTTGTTTACGACGATGAGCCAACGATAAACGGAGACAATGTATTACCTTGCTTGTACACTGCAAAAAAGTACAACTTGTCTGGTCTTGTTATACAATGTTCAGAATTTCTTGAAAACAACATAGACGTGAGTAATGTCTGTCAGGTTCATGAACACGCCGTCTTTTATGAAATGAAACCTCTACAAGAAAGATGCCTTGCATTCATCGTGGAAAACGCAACAAGTGTATTTTCGTCACCAGGCTTTTTAAGTTTATCACAAGTAACATTGTTAAATGTTCTCAAAAGTGAAGAATTAGTGAGCGATGAAATTGATGTATTTACAGCAGCAATCAGATGGGCAGAACATAAGTGTGAGGTCAACAAGAAGTCCAAGATTGGAGAAAATATGCGCAGTCAACTTGAAGAAGCAGTGTTTCAGATACGATTTCCGATAATACCGATTGAAAAGTTTGCGCAAGTAGTTGCTCCATCCGGAATACTGACCAAAGAAGAGCTATTGATTCTGTATCAGTATAACGCAACTAAAGGGACAAGTCCTATTGGAACATTCAGACATGAGAACAGATCTGGAGCAACCTTAACAATTGATCTTAGGAAACATGTCAATTCCAAGCAATATCGAAGAGCCAACAACAATGGTTCTTCATTGCAAGTTGAGTACATATCACACGGAGACAGGTGCAATGATTACGATTACGAGTCATATGATGAGGAGGAATCATTTTGTGAAGATGACATACATGACATAAGGGTATCTAATGACAATGGTCTAACTTTTAAAATTACCAAAGCACCTCTTAAGTTGAAGTCAATTACTGGTATGTTTGTAAGGAACGTCAAAAGAATAACTAACAATGGAAAAAATGTTACAGGCTATAAATTTATGGAAAATAAGATACTTTTTGAACCACCGATTGAAATGAAGGACAGGAAAATTGTTCAGTTCATCCCAGAAAAAAAGAGGAGAAATTATACTGCTGATTTAGAAGAATTGCCTTTATTTAGCAAAAGCCGTCAGTCTAAAAGTGTCGACATCAATCAGTATAAGTGTACCATTACGCAGATCCCTGCTGAAACGGAAACCATAACATTTCTTAAATGATACCACATTTAATTGCAAGTACTACCTAAGTAGGAAATAGATAATCAAATGTACTTTGAATTTTGTGTACTTGTAACATTTATTGATCACGGTATATATGTAACATTAAAGCTTTGCTATAATTGATGCTATATACATGTATATATTACCACATAATGAAAATATATCCGCTTAAATATATTATGAGAGGCAAATCTATTGTTATAGTAAAAGCTTTTTAAAACGTCAATTGTGTTAATAATGTTTTTTACTTTTGGGTTAAGCAAAACAAATATTATATACAGAGATTTTTTCACAAGTTCGGTACCTTATCTGACCTTATTGATAATTTCTTTTTATCAACAACGAAATAATATCTAAGTTTCACTCATTGTTGCTTCTAATGTTATAAACATGAAATTTAAATAAAAACAAAAACGACTGCAATTTATATAAGTTTCTTATTGATTAATCAAAAGTGTGCTTTAAAGGGAAAGACAAGGTTAAAATAAAAACTTGATTTCAGAAAAAGAATACTATAAATAATAAGTCTGCAAATTTTCTGCCGCCAAATAATAATATTAAACGAATGACAACAAAATTTAAATCGCTAAATCACCGATTTCTACAAATCGGTAAGCGCGGCCATGTTTGTGTATTGGCCGTATAAAAACAGGTGCGCGTGATGTCATTTCCCCACATCTTTTAGATTCATGATAAATCTAGTTGAATCGTAAAGAAATATTAATATAGTAAAGTATTGATCAGACAATTTAATTTTCACAGAAGGTGTAGAGGAGATTTTTTTATGGTTCAAAATACGTAACAATATCAAAAAAAAATAATAATAAAAAATAAAGAAACGTACGGCTAGCCAAAAGTTCTAGCCGTACGTGAGTCACGAACGACTAGCCAGGACGCACTGTATTGTCTAGCCGTACGGCAATTTTCAAAATTATATGGAAGTCGAACGTTATAAAATTGTTGATTTTCATGCTTATCATTTGTTGTTTAATTTGTATGAATTATTAAATCATTTTTGTTAATTTTAAGCACATGGATCGAATAAAAATTGATCGGAGTGGAATAAATAAATAAAAAGAACATTGAGTGAGAAAAAACGGTGAAATGCAAAAATAATTATATAATTTTCAAAACAGTAGATAAATATCGAACATAAAAGCACAGTCAATCAATTAATTAGCCTTAATTAAAACCTATCCAGGGACTGACAATAGAATTTTAGAATGCCTTTCACGGAACATGCAAACTTTCCTTGATACAGTACCGTCGGTAATTGTCGCAATTATCAAGAGCCTAACAACAATCATTTTCAGTGTTTGTTGTTGTTGTTTTTTTTTACATATTAAAGGTGTCGAAAATTAAACTTAATGAAACAAAAAAGGATTATTATCAAAAATTTGTAAACTATTTCAATTGGTGTAAATGCAAGCAAAGGCTATTTTTTCTCGACATCTTGCGATGACAAAGATCGATATATATAGCGATCAAGGCGATTAATCTCTAAAAAGTTAACATCCAAAGACAATTAATGCTGTTTCTTGGTTAAAATCCTCGCTTAAAGTCATAAAATAACATATGCATTTTCGACTTCCATAAAATTTTGAAAAGTGCCGTACGGCTAGCCAATACAGCGTGTCCTTGCTAGTCGTACGTGACTCACGTACGGCTAAAACTTTGGCTAGCCGTACGGGCCCGTACGCTAGCCACTTCCATTATAAAAACCCTACTAAAACGTGTTCTTAATAGTACATATAATTAATTTTTTGCAGTTTGATTCTGACTTTCAAATTTAAAGGTGTGAACATATGTTATAATTGATGTACACATTTCAAAAATATCAGCAACTGTTTTGAAAAGTAAATTGTTAACATGTCTGTCAACGTAAAATGCTGCGCATCGTAATCGTAGCCTAATATTAACTGCAGGAAAATCATTTTTATTGGCTGCTCAAAAATCTAATTTGCATAATTTATTCACACAATTGCTGGTTCTTACTACTTATGTCTAATACTGCGCATTGTCCATTTTAATTGTTCCTAATTTGCACCAAATGCTCCTGTCACACTGTGTACTGACGATTTTTATTGCTCCTTGTATGCCTCTGTGCCGACAGACCTTTTGATCATGCACAATGTTGCCCTAATTGGTTAATCACCATTGTCAAATATTCTAATGACGAAATAGACATCTATTTTTTTACGCTCCATCAGTGAACTGAATGACCTTAGGGGGAATTCGGTTCCACACCTGTCAAATTGTACTGTAGTAAATTACAGCACGTCATAAAATAGCAACACATTTTTTTCAGTTCCCAATAATCATTTTAAATATTAAGTAGATTTATGATTTTTTGTTTTATTGGATTAAATTTACGGTAGAAGAAATGCGTATCTGTCGGGGAAAGGAATTTGGTAAGTAGATAACGTGGAAAAAAGCTTTGGGGAACTGGATAAACCCGAGAATATGCGTAATTATAGGGGAATGGGCAACCTGTTGCTGTTGGTACCAGTTTTGACTGGGTGCCTAAATAACTTTACGGACAGTTTTGTTTTCATACGATATAAGTCTGGCTGCCGATTTTCCTGCGCCTTTCTCATTTTTAGCGTCAATGGCGGAAAAACGCGTCCTCAGCATATTGGATTTAGTTGATATTTTACTTGAAAAAAGATATATGACCGGCGATGTACCCTATTTGGACAGCTTGTATAAGTTTCTCATAGTACCCAAAGTAAATTGATGGTTTATCTTTGAAAATTAAGCAGTCATTGCTTAAATCATGTGGTGGGATCATCAGCAAGCTTGAGTATCGGGCAAATGATAATTTATGTCGCGGCGTCTTCAATTAATTAATTAAAGCAATTCAGTTCCATATGATGTTTTCATAAATAATATATAATGTACGCAATTAAATTAATAAGTTCTTCATCAAGATATATTTCAGTTGTACCAGCGTGTACAACTATACCGGAAGTGGGTATTACACGTCACAATCTCGGTCTCGTCTGTCTCGCGAGAATGACAGAACGCCAAAATGGCGGCGCCCATGAACTTATTTCTCAAGTAAAAAATAGTGTCTTTAAACACGAATTTCTCTCTTATAGGGTTGATGTCAATAGGGAAACTGTCATGGTTCCTCTTTTTAAATGATGAATATTTATATTAGACAGACATCAATCCATCCATTCTTATTCCTTTAAGTATTTCATTGAGTTTCTGAGAAATGTTTAAAGTTCAGTTGTATATGCATACATTATTTATTAATATTTTCATTAAATCGCAATCGTATGACAATGTGGGATAAAATTTTCTTACATTTACTGATTTTAAAAATTCTATTTAGTTCCATCCATTGTTTTGTCGCTTTAGACACACGCACCATACGCCGCTTTTCCTGGAATGACATTAACGTGTCAGATTGAGGGTTCCATGATAATCACCGTATGAACTTATCTGCGGATGTTTCTAAATTCAAAATATGACCAATACCAGAATTAAATATCGCTTAAGTCGGTGCCAGGGGGCCTCATGTGGTAACTTACACTTTCCATTACCATCCGTGAACAGGCTCAATTAAACCAAGCTTGCAATATTTACAGTTTTATCGTTTTGTAAGTTATTTAGGAATTATTTATTTCTCTACATTTTGGAAACAAACAAAATTATCGATACATGTTTAACTGTTGTTTATTGTGAAATAAGTAATAATAGTTAATATACATGTTTTATATATAATATACATTATATTTCAATATAGCTAGAACAGAGACCATGAGGGACTGGAAAGATTTTTAAGGCTTAATTTCAAGCTAGTGTGTTTGGTCTTGGGCAGTAAGTTACAATAATGATGATGCACAATTTTCACCAAAATAACTGCACTATTGTGTTAATGAATCGATGTCATATTAAAATATGATAAACAAGATCAACAAGGAAAGGCGGCGTTCAATGAACGCAACCTCCATATGACCAAGCAACAAGAACCAGTGGCAAGGAGCCCAGGCGGACCCCAAACAAAATGTTAAGATTGTTAAAACGCCTACGTCATCAGAATAGGATAATTTTGTTAATTATATTTATGAATAATCAAGCGTGTAACACTTTTTTCTCAGAACCCTCATAAGTATTTATAGATTACTTTGTACTGTATGTATATAATATAATTGACCACCGTGTGCAAATGAAAACTTGTTTTTAAGAAACAGATTAAGAATACATAGTAAATGTGTTGATTGAAAAGGTGTTTATGTCATTTAAATATCATCTAATGTATGATCCGCATGAGTCGTTTTCTGCTTTACTTCATACAACGATGAATTGTCGATTAAATTATGCCGATTATAGTTGTTCTTTATTTGTATAGTTCATACTGAGAAAATGTATTATATCTAGTTCCATGCACTGGTATTCGAGTCAATCAATTTGAACTTTCAGAGAAGAAGTATATAAGTGATCTCGGTTGACTCCTGCAAAAACTTATTTTGTATGCCTGCAAAGATGAAAAGCTATATTGAGTGCCGTGCATTGCTGTAAATGCGGAAATTTGAATGTTAAGATAATTGAGATCAGCACTCCAGCGATAAATAAGGCGAAGGAAAATGAGGAAAGAAGTGCTAACGGACATGAAGCGATTTGATTAATCTTTATGATCTGCGTTTAAAATTGTGTCGAGATATAATGCAAGGAATAGAAATGTTGTATGACAAAAAGTACAAAATTGGATTATAAAGACAGTAAATATGAAAAAAAATGGATAAAATATTTAAAAAAGAAGAAAAACACCATCTCGACGCTTCATTTGTACCTTATATGTGGAGTCTGAAACAACACGGGAATATAAAAAAGGTTATATATGTTTACAAGTCAATACAAAATTCAAAGGGTAAACATAAAATGGATAATTGTTTTTATTAAGTGCAACGTTTTTCTCTGCTTTAATTGCCTTCAATGGGTCCAATGGAAGATAATGTGAAATTCAAAAAATACGTTTATTTAAAAAACTACGTTAATAGCGCGAATTTTCAAGCTGAACTAAAAAGCATTGGTTTTCACACGGAAAGTCCTAGCGGGGACTGCTGTTTAAGCGTGGAAGCAGGAACTTGTTAGGGCTCTTAGATTACATCAATGATATAGATTTATGTCATGTTCATTAGTTGGTCGCAGCCATTTTTACAAATGTTAGTCTGGATCTATATTTTTCTACAGTATTTATCACAGTAGTACAGTAGTCTGACTAGAGATTACCAAAAATGGTTGATAAGATATTCGAGACCACTTGAAACACTCACTTGTTAAACACCTCCAAACACATTCATCTGTTTAAAAAAATAACAAATGTTTTAAAAAATAAAATGTTGCATATTTTGCTCGAAGTTAATCTGGAAAACCTTTCCAGCCCTAAAAGAGAAAATAATGGGCGGAACTAAATAAAATGGAAATACGCAAAAGGGATCAAAGGTTAT